TACTTTCAATGCCCTGTGTGGATGCTGTTGGTGCAAACTAAAAATGTACTTAGTTCGCATTGACACTGTCCTGTCTGAATGAGGATGCTTTCAGTGTCCATGGGGGGCAGTTAGACTGCAACACTTTGGTGCGCTCTGCAATTTGCATCACCCTGGTTCTTCTCACAGGGTAAACAGTCCCTGACAACAGAGCAGTGAAATTCTTGCACTCAAACAATTTAATAATTCCATTTTTCTAAGACCTAAATCACAAGAGAGATGAGAAGACAACATTACAATAATCTCCACATCGCTAGAAAGCTTCAAGACAGCAACTGTTCAAAAACAAGAAAAATGAAGTCTTACAAACACTGACGTATGAAAAAAATCTCCAGCTCCTCAATCCCTCTTCCTACTCCCCCTGCTACTCCCCCAAAGAGTGTTAATTTTTGTTAAAAGTAAACTAAGGGAAAAGCAGCTGGTTGAGGAGATTCAAGTAGCCAACATTTTAAACCGAGGGCACCTAAATATAGGCACCTAACTAAAAGTGGCTTGAATTTCAAAGGGGGCAGAGCACATGCAGCTCCCCATTGACTACAATGGGATTTGTGGATACTCAGCACTGTTTTTAGATCGGGCCAGTTTTAGGCTAAGTAACTTCAGGCACCAAGGTTTGTAAATGTTGGCAGATGTGTTTACAAGTTGTGAATATTTTCAGTGACGCTCACTTTAAAAACCCAATGCAACCTGACAGAATTGGTGTTACCTGTCCGAGTTACAAAGTGTGTTAAACTTCAGAGGATGCATGTTAGCAATAGGTTTTGCCTTTGGTTTCTCCTATCCTTAATTCAGAGATGTCCTCTGTCAGATTCCCATAAGTAGCTTTGTTATCTAGGGTGTAGACAGAGGACCTGGAATGACAAGTCTTTCAGCCACTCGTATAAATATCACACAAACTCTACTTTCTCACTTCAGGGGAAAAAGCTCTGGTCTCTGGTTCACCGCTTCCTCCCTCCCTCCCATTCTAAGACAATCCCCTTTGAGGCAGAAAACACTGTCTGGTACCAGTGAGGGAGTCTTAATCTTGTCTACTTTATAAGGGTACATCTACACTACAGGGGGGAGTCGATTTAAGATATGCAAATTCAGCTACGTGAATAGCATAGCTGAATTCGACGTATCGCAGCCGACTTACCCCGTTGTGAGGACGGCGGCAAAATCGACTTCTGCGGCTTTTTGTCGGCGGCGCTTACTACCACCTCCGCTGGTGGAGTTAGAGCGCCGATTCGGGGATAGATTGTCGCGTCCCGATGGGACGCGATAAATCGATCCCCGAGAGGTAGATTTCTACCCGCCGATTCAGGCGGGTAGTATAGACCTAGCCTAAGACACTAACATTTGTGACTGCCATCTCTGTGACACAGCAAGCTAACGCACAGAGACCTCTAAAGAGATGCAGAAAGATCTAAGTGCAAGGTTGAGTGGTATCTTGTGCCTCCTCAATAACTATAAGAAACTCCTCTCACCACTTCCAAAAACAAGACACAAACAACAAATCAAGGGAGATTGGGGGGGGGAGGGGGGGAGAGAGAGAAGCATTGGGGCATGAGGCCAATAATAATTTTATTTCCAAGAGCTCTCCCTGCTCCCAAAAAGCTTCCAGTGCCCTTCTAATAAGTAGGGCCCTACCAAATTCACAGCCATGAAAAATGCATCATGGACCATGAAATCTGGTCTCCCCCAGTGAAATCTGGTATTTTGTGGGCTTTTAACCTATACTGTACAGTTTTTGTAGGGGAGAACAGCATTTCTCAAATTGGGGGTCCTGACCTAAAAGGGAGTTATGGGGGGGACCCACAAAGTTATTTTAGGGGGGGTCACAGTATTGCAACCCTTACTTCTGAGATGCCTTCAGAGCTGGGCAGCCAGAGAGCAGTGGCTACTGGCCACAGTAGCGCAGACATAAGGGGGGCAATACCATACCATGCCACCCTTACTTCTGTGCTGCTGCCTTCAGAGCGGGGTGGCTGGAGAATGGCGGCTGCTGACTGAGGGCCCAGCTCTGCAGGCAGCAGCGCAGAAGTAAGAGTGGCAATAACATACCACGCACTTACTTTTGGGCTTTTGGCCAGCAGCCACCTCTCTCCAGCTGCCCAACTCTGAAGGCAGCGCCACCATTGGAAAAGCAGCACAGAAGTAAGGGTAGCAGTACCGCAACCCCCCTACAATAACCTTGCACCCTCCCCCCCACAACTCCTTTTTCAGTCAGGACCCCTACAATTACAACACAGTGAAATTTCAGATAGCTGAAATCCTGAAATCTACGATTTTTTAAATCCTATGACTGTGAAATTGACCAAAATGGACTGTGAATTTGGTAGTCAAAAAAAGTCACGTCAACAAAGATGAAGAAGAAGAAGCATACACCACATAAGCCTGGGAGAGAATTATGAGATTATCAAGAGACATACTACATCTGGAATTGCTTCCAGCAACCTGACAATCTAAAGCACAACTGTCGGAGGCCATCTTAGCTGCTTCAAGTCACAGAAGGTGTTACTACACTACAAGTTACATTAACATAACAGCTTTCACATAAATATTGCAGTGCCCTGTGATGTAATACTATAAAACTAATCAGCAGTTAAGGCGGAAAATCTTTTCTTCACCCTACTTCTGACCATCAGGACACAAGCACTACAAAGTGATATAGGAAAGATACTGCATAATTACGGGGCAGAGTTACAAAAAGCTCTGGCTCCCATCACCTCAGGATTATAATAAGGACAGGTAAGCAATAGGCTGATTCCAGTGTGGATGAGCAGATAAAGTAAGATGAGATATTACTTAAGCATGTTGGCCCAGTCTCAGAGCCATAAAAGGACAACTTTTAAGTCAAAGGCAAAACTTGGTACTCAAACCTTCCATGTCACTTCATAGATGACACCTTGAAAGTACCGCAAAAAGAAGAACAGGAGGACTTGTGGCACCTTAGAGACTAACAAATTTATTAGAGCATAAGCTTTCGTGGACTACAGCCCACTTCTTCGGATGCATATAGAATGGAACATATATTGAGGAGATA